CAATTTTCGCCGATTAAGTTTTAAAAATTCGTATAAAATTCAGTTCTTGGAATATGAGTATGAAAATTTCCCAAAGTGTTAATAAAAGTGTCCTCTTTCCAATGAACCAACCCGTTTTTAAAAATATCTTTTAGTTTTTGAGAAAACAATATTTGAAGTTTTGATAAAACTTTCCATGTTGCAATTTTTATCGATAACTTTCAAAATTCGTTATAAAATTCATTTCTTGAAGGAGCCTTGTGGAAATATCACCAATTATTAATTAAAGTATCCTGTTTTTAGAGTTGCTTCGTTAGGTAAATCAGCATCAAAAAAGTTCATTTTGTATCTTGAATCAAATAAGTTGACATATCTTATCAGCTTTCTTATTAATTTCATTTTTATTCAAATACCGCAATAATGTAGCAATGTAGGGTATCACTTCAGAAATGCATCAGAAATTATAACCATAATGGCCAGATAGATATGCCGGATAACCGGATATTCGGCCGAAGATGATGCCGAATATCCGGTATCCGGCTTTTCGCAAAATCACTATCCGTTCCATCACAAGTATAAGGACAACCAGGGATTAAAGAAATACGTAGCTGATATGAGAGGATCGAAAAATATATAGGCGGACCTGATCTTTGGAATCATGGAAGGTAATCAAGGAACTCCGAGCAAACACAATAAATAAGGGAAAATTACAGTAATTAATATGGAAACATGGGTCAAACAGTACAAAGCTCTGCTGACGGAGGATAGACAAAGAGAGAGAGTTTTCAAGACTTTTCTAACAAAGAGAGAGAATATGACGAGGTCGTATACTCTAAGAAGATGAGATTACTTTGCATTCTCCTTGTACTCTTTCTTGTACTTTGCATTGAAAACCAGATGAGGTTCTCAGATACATGAATAATTCTTCTGTATAATTTGTATCTACTTCGCTAGATACAAATTCATTGTTTAATTTTAAGCTATGTAAAGTGTCTTGATTTGATTATTTCAAACCAACCACGACTATATAAAATATTTAATTGTAGGGTTGTTTCATTTTATTTGTTTAATTGTTGGATACATGGATCCAATGATTCCATGTATCATTGGAATCGTTTTTTTAGCTCTATTGGGAAATACCATAATATGTAAAAATAAAGTAGACCCATTTCCTCAAAAACATACAAGTATAAAATACTAAATAATAGAAGAAGATGCTAATGTACTTATAGCACAGATATTAAATAACTTAAAATTGGATTTGGAAAAAGTTATCATGGAAAAATTAAGAAATAAAATGTTAATAATCGTTATTTACATCAAAGTCTGTAATGTTATTTATTGCAGGTGAGGAATTATTGAGAGCGTTTGAAATTATGAGTCTTCAAAAACAACTTTACAGACGTTAACAACAATAGAATGTTTCCTGAAACTAAACAAATCGTTTTAAACATTAAAAGAAAAAGTAAAGTTTACGAGTAATATGCGAATTAAGTTTCAGTTATCAAAGCCTTGTATTTATAGTTTCAGGAGTTAAAATGAAGTAAGTTATTTATAATTTTTTACCTGAAATTCTCTTAAATCGTACACCATTAACGGAAAGTCTTGGCAGTTTGCAAACTTCAATTTCCCATTGGACGAGACTATCGGTGTTCGGATCTCCATGCACGCACAATAACAGGAAACGTTCCCGTTGTTCGTAATCGCAATTATTGGCGTCCAGCACTTTACGTATTTCGGCCATAATTTCGGTCGGTTTTCTGCTGGACGTAGTCTTCATCGACCACGTGAACCTTAGCGAACGGGGTTTCACGTGTTCATCGTTTTGTGCTCCCGCCACTCTGCAAAATTAATATACACCACTCGTTTCTAAAGTAATCATTATTTCGATAACAAATTGTAAGTTAAGTTTTGATGATAATCGTGAAAATTTGACAAAGAAATGATATTGGATAGTAACATTTTTAATATACATATAGAAAATTGGAATTTTTTAAGTTAGATTTATTATATTATATTATTTATTTCTTTACATTAATTCTACCTCAATATAATAAAGAAAAACATCTTCTGATCTGATTCTTCCATCTGACCTTATTTAATTTTTCAGACCCATGTAATATATTTCAGTGCAAGTTTATAGAGATAAAAGCACATTTTCAATGTTCAAAATGTTGTCTATCTTTATATATAAATGGAAACAAATTCCAACCTTGAATCTACAAAAATATTAAATCCGATCAGTTATTATCCTATAAAATGTTTCAGAATCAGCATTTTTCATTCGATTTTGAATCGAAAAATTATTTTCCATGGTTATTAAAAAAACAGCAAATTTTGTCAAATTTTCTGAAAATCATCAAATTAACCAATTTGAACCCAATAAAAATTTTCTATAGGCATCCCGGAATAGATACTAATTGATCAATTCTTTCATTCGCCACATAAAATGTGACTATTACACTGTCGAAGAAGATAAGAAATAATCTTAATAATTAAATATGTAACTAAATATGTTAGCTTCAACATTATTTTCTTAGACTTCCTCTTGATAATTTAGTAGTAATTCTAGGACCCCTATATAGTTTGGTTAATAACTTAAAATAATAATGGATTAGTAAAAATGCTTAAACAATTATTTTTTTTTTGGATTTAAAATTAGGAAGTTAAAATACATTACTTAACGGTTATATTTTTATAACAGGAAACAGGAATTTTTTGTAAGAGCTGCTCATTAAATAAACATTCTTGAAATGAACTAAATTAACAATTCCCACAACAATTTTAAACAATAGGGACAATAAGACTATAATCTAGGTAGAAAAGATATTAGTAAACTACATAAAAGTGGACATTTAAACATTTTCTAAGAAAGCGATTAAATAGGGGTTGTGTTTGGAATAAATCTACATGAAAAGTGTGTGCAATTTTTTAATTTGTTAAGTGCAATTTATTTCCACAATTACTCACGTAATTTTTACTGTTAAAAACAATAATTTTGTTGTTGACAACATTTTTAAAATAAATTGTGTGAAATTATTACCAATTTATTATCTGGAATTATTTCGTTTAAAATTATATTATATACAATTAAATTGTTAAGTGTGTTAGTGCAGGTTCTATACAGGATTGCTCTATATATGGCGTATATACTTGTCCTGAGGATTTCCAATTACCAATTTTCCCATATTTTTTGAACGTTTTATTTTTGTTGTGTTAACGAACACGGATACCAATCACATCAAGAAAACATAATTTATATTTTTGAAAACTTAGTGGAAATCATAACGTTTGATCGTTTTAATATGATATTTAATATGTAATATTGTATGTTTATTTATGATCGAGTTAAGAGCTTTAAAAAAGACGTAATATCTACAATTGAAGCGATACAAGATTTAACATGGTCATATAATTTAAGGCAAGTTATATTTTCAGTATTAACGGTAATTTCAATTGTAGAATTCTAAACTGATAAGAAAAATATGGAAGATGATAAACAAAAGATGGAAAAAGCAGAAATTGAAGCAAATAATTAACTGAACTAATAGCAATTAAGATGTGTGTCAAGAAAATGAAAACAATAATATTGTAATAGATTAGAAAATTAGATTCATAAATCATAAAAGATTAGAAATTAGTTAGAATTGAACTGAAACTTAGCATGGTTTAGATTAAGATTAATAGGTATTATGAAAGATTTTGGATATATCTAAGATCTATTAGCCATTAGGAACTGTTGTTGTAGAATTATTATTTAAAGATTATAATTTATAACTAAACTAGATTTACTAGATTCGTACTAAAAATTTTTTTCTTCTCTAATTTCAAAACACCAGTGTATAAACCTGTAACCTGGCGTTATATGCATAACTCTTAGCTCAGTACCAGAGACGTTTAACATACTCATTTTATGTTTCTAGCTTTAACAGGTTAAACTTTATATTTAATTTTTTGTAATCGTTTTATTGTCAATTACGTCTATGTGTGCAAAGATTGTTTCGTAATCTTTGACAATTATTAACCGCATCATAATTTCTTCTTCTTAATAAATCATTTTTCCAAGTGTGGGCTGGATAATGGTTCATGCTCTCTTCTATATGACAAGAATGTAACAATTAGTCACAACGTGAAAGAACAAATAGATATACGAGTAATTTATGAAACCAGAAGATATGGAATATCTAAAAAGAGCATTATTGAGCAGCTCAATAAAAGGTTAACGAATTAAATATGATAAAATAATCACCATAATAACCTAAAAAGTTGTTCATCACCAACTTAAAAACAAGGAGGAAGTGTTTTGCAAGAAACAATATTAGAATATCATATCAGCAACACCTTAGAAATGATGATCACTTAAAGATGTGATTCAAAAAACTTTGTTTAGTAGTTAGGTTATCTTTTAATACTAATGACGCATAATTTTTTAAGCATTAGCCTGCATTGCAGAACTTGCAGATTAGACTTGGATCCAACTTCTGAAAAATTCTTACCATCACCTGTACATAAACACTAAGTTGGTCCAAAATAACTGCCCTACAGCATATAGCAAGTCATGACATAAAACTATATAAAATTGACCAAGTTTGTCCAAAGTGTGTCCACCAAAATGAATTTATAAATTAACTTGAAAGCCATGACCATATTATTGCATTCAGATTGAAAATTGAAGTATAATTTATGGCAAATCTTTGAAATAATGGATGGAAACGAAATTAGTCGATAGTCATTGATCGAAGACATTTTCTACCGAAGTTAGGCATTTTTCATGGTTTTGGAAATATAACAAATTTCATAAAAGCGGTGATAGAAGCAGCTCTTCCACGCATCGAACGATGAGCCCACACGGTAAATCATCAGAACCAAGACGTAATTGAGAGAAAACCGACATTCTGAAGAAAAAACCAGTGACAAGTTTTTCCTAAGCAAGGTACCATGAAATATGGATCATCAAGGTTCCCATCAATATACAGGAAAGAAGTAGTCCATTTTAGATTGATTGCCACTACCATCACGGATTTAATCCTTTACAAACGATCATAAATGAGAAGGGGAATCGATTAGATAATCTTGAATGTATTTGAGGTGGAAATTGTAGTCAGGAGCAATAATATGCACCAATAATTCTTACATTTTATGTGAAATTTTACCTTTTCTTAGATAATTCTTATGAGATAATTTTTGAGAAATACAAGTAAGAAAAACGGGTACTGTACGATAAATTATATCAATCGACGTCTGATAATGCGTTCTTAAGACCATCAAAACGTTCGTGATCAAGCTGCTAATTTATCTGATGACAATTTTAACAATTTTAAAGCATCATACAAGTTCACTACATAAAATTAAATGTAACACGATCTCTTCTAGGACAGTGTTTTGAGCACTATGTATTTGTTGTATACATCTAATATTTTGTCTATAATAAAGTTATGAGCCAGTAAGCATGTGATTTAGTATGTAGATTAGGAAGTGGGAAATTAAACCTTACTTCAACAGCAATACAGTACATTAGTAATAACAATAGCTCAATTTAAGCTAATGTCGTTAATTATTTAGGCATGACTCTGAATGGAAAAATACGTTGGAAACAGCCTGCTAAACACAACAGCAACGTCTAATGAGATTTGGGCACTGAAGAAGTCAATGGAGCAATACACATGGCATAAGTACATATGGATATATCAGATCTATTTAGAAACCTCGAGGTATATCAAATTAACGGATTAACGGATATATTGGAAATTGAGAAGAGCAAAATACACGGCGCTCTATTTTGGGTGTAATCGTGATATAAGTACTTATATCTAATGTATAAAACACCAATAAGAAATCTTATACAATTTATACTTTTAAACAAGTAACTCAAAATTATTGTTATTTAAGCAAATGTCGCTATTCATAGATTAATGATAAATGGTCTTTGATAAATGGAATCAACTTGCCAATCAGAGGGAATGGTAGAAATTTTTTTCATCATAAATCCTCTGGACCGGTTGTCTTCTAGGCATCTTATGGTAAACATGTAGCTTCCCTTTTTATCATTATTACTAGTTCAATTGCTGAGTTGAAGCTCTTCTGTTATGGAAGAAACATCTGTTTAACAATTATTGTTCTATTTTCACCAAATATATAACCTGGCAAATGCTTAATTCTGTTTTCATTATCAAATCAATTATATTTAAAGCTTGTTAAATATAATTATCAAGTTGATTTAATTTATCATAACATTTGAATTACAAATTTTTAGACTCACTACAAAACCTGTCCTATTATCAACTAAGAATGGTTTATTGAAGAAGAAAAGCAATTGGGCACTATTAAGAATGGACTGGCTCATCTAAAAAAAATTACCGTTCCTAGACTTCTAACAAATCAAGATGTTGTCTACAAATTCCAGTAGCAAGGGCAGAAGTCTAATTTTAAGCCTCATCCTTATGAAAAATACTCCTCATAATAAATATCATATTCTCAACAATTCACAACACATCCTTTAGAAGATATAGATGCACTTTAGTTCAGTTTTATCAGTTAGGTACTGATTCAATCAAATTCGTTACTGCTATTAAAGGCAGTATAGTCACCAGTTTTAAAACTATTAAGTCTCTGTACACATGCCATCTGTTTATCGCATTTTTTAATCCCATGTCTAACATTTATATTCATCATTTGAAGTTGATCCATTGAAATTAGTTTTTAAGGTAACTCAGCTGTAAATTTGATTTGCTAGGCAACATTTATTCTGTCTAAGTTTTCCTTTAACTCCCTTCTATCGTTGATGAATGTGATGGAAATGTCTTTCTGGTATAAGATAGTAATGTCATACTCACAACATGTT